TCTCCTAATCCTATCAATCCTGGTACAATCAAGATAAGCTTTCTCAAGATGAGCAGAAATCCTCATCTTTCTCCCGCAGAACAGCTGATAGTTTCGAACTGCTGACCTTAAGGTTCACAGCCCAATTCATAACCACTACGCTACCAGAGTCACTTTTAGTCCCTCAAAATACCAGCCATTAGCTTATAGCTTTCCAGACCCATCCCTCCAATTCTAACCTGTTGGCTCCCACTGCTCCCTCAGGTTCAATAATTCACTAGAATGACTCACAGAATTCACTATAGAACTCAGAAAGTGCTCCACTTATAACTACACTATTCTTGTAACAAAAGGGAAACAAATGAAGAGAGGCTTCGGGAGAAGTATTAGGAGGGGTCCCAATGTGAAGCTTTTGTGTCCCCAAACTTGCACGTGCTGTCTTCCTTATGAGTAGATGCCCTTCACCAACCAAGAAGTCCATGGAGCTTCAGTGTGGAAAATTTTTACAAGGGGTCTCAGTACATAATTCAACTCCAGCCCATCAAAGGATGAAGAAAGGATGCTCGGGACTTGTGTTCACAACTTCCTATCAATAAGTCGCTGAATCTCCTTGGGTTCCAGAAAGCTGATTCTGATCTGGATTGCATTCTGTACAGGCTGGAATATGAAATCAAGAACAGTCATCCTGATTCAGCTGGAGAGAAAGATCCAGTTACACTCTTGAAGGAACTGTCAGCGATAAAGTCTCAATATCAGACTGCATACATGCTTTAAACCAGTTGCTGTTGAACAGAAAGAGATGAAAGGCCGCATTAGTGTTACTTTGTTTAAGACTATGACCATGATACAGGAACTGCAAAAGCTAACAGACCTGGAGCTATTACCACTGACTGAAGAAGAGAAAACTGCAGAAAAGCAATTAAAGTCTCATGTGCCAGACTTGTGAAGAAATGCACTTGCCAAAGGGAACTCTAATGGAGAAGAGATGAATATCAAAGAAATTTAGGAAGATGTCTTAAACTTGCTGACTGGAGGTGGGGGAGACCTGTGAGGTTTAGGGTGGCTGACTGGATAGTGATGCCTTTCACAAGAGGGGACTGTAAGAAGAAAAGCAGATATTATATGAATAAAGTTCAGCAAAAGGATAGAAGAGGAATAAAGGGATTTACAATGCACATTCCTACTTAGCATAATATTTTAGGCAAGAAAATCTCTTTCAACTCTTTTGCCTGTTTTCTGTTTGTATAATTGGGATGTATAATGTAGATATCCTGATCTATTGTAAAGGATGTTTTATGTACTACCAGTCAAAGACTGAGCATGCATTCAGAAGAAAAGGATAGATACAATATTTATATCATAGATTATCATATAGATGTATATGTGTTTCATTTCTAAAAATGTTGATTGAAAAAAAAAAACAAACAAAAAAACTCCAGCCCATCTTGTATGAGGTCTGTTGGTATCATGAGGTTGGTATTATGATGGTAGAGATGACGTTATGGTAGATCTTTTTGGCTTAGTCAATCCACAACCAACACGGGTCATAAACCCTTAAGTCAGGAGTCCTTAACAAAGACACTTCAATAACTGGGGAAATGCCAAGCGTGTCAAGGTCATCACTCAGGAACAAAGGACAAAAGCCACATTCGGTGGGTAAAGTTAACCCCACAGGGAGAAATTGCCTATACAAACAGAGGGTGGTTCTGGTGGTGGTGGTATGCCATGAAGTCGGTTCCGACTCGTAGTGACCCTACATAGGGTTTCCGAGGCTATAAACCTTTCTCCCATGGAATGGCTGGTAGTTTCGCACTGCTGACCTTGAGGTTGGCAGCCTAACTCGTAAGCAATATGCTGCCAGAACTCCTTACAAATAAAGAAAACTGTCTTGCTAGTAAACTCTCTCTAGAGGCTCTCCTCACTGGCTTGACAAGCAGAGGGTAAGAGTTGGTTTGTCCCTGGAGTGGGGGATCTTAGTAGGTGTTCAGATAGGTGGTCAGTCTGGGCTTGTGCAGGAAGATGCTACTGCCTTTCTTCCCTTCTCTTGTGCATCCTAATTTACCTTTGTTATATGCATTTCTCTCATATCATTATAAGTAGAAAAAAAGTAATGTTTTTGTTTTTGTTTTGTTTTTCATTTTTGCAGTGGGGAGGTTAGATAAGTTGTGGGAGTTTATTGAAAAAAAAATTCAATTTGGTATTTTTTTTCGCTTGAAAAATGGGGCTAAAGCCTGCTTCATAGCAACAATTCAGTGTTAGTGGCTGTGACTTTCTCATGTAGAGCTCTGTGATCTCATTTAAATAAGTGCTTCAGCATTCCAGATACTAGGTTTGAATTTTCATTTCACAACTCATTCTCTGTGTTGTTCCAAACAAACACTAACTTGTAGATCTTTCTGAGCTATCTTGATTGTAACTTCTCACCCTCCTTCATGCTGCTGCTTCTCAGTCCTGATACCTTCTTCTTATACTCCTGTTGCATCATAAAACTTTCTATTACTCCCTACTTCCTTCCTATTAGTTTTCTCTTGCTACATAACAACATTATCACAAACGTAGCAGCTTGACATCATGCACATGTATCATCTGGCAGTTTCTCTGGTCATAGAGGCACAGTCCCGCTGAGTCCTTGTGCAGGATCTCGCAGGCTGTATGTTGTCAAGGTTTCAGCTGGCTTGTGTTTCCATCAGCAGGCTGATTTGGGGGAAAGCCCATGTCTAAGCCCATGCAGGTTGTTGGAGGAATTCATTTTTCTTTCAGTTGTAAAACTGAGAGCCTTGGCTTCTTGCTGAGTGCTGGCTGGAAAGCCACTTGCAGTTCTAGAGGCCTGCCTGCAGTTCCTTGCCACATGGGTTTATACAGCGTGCTCACTTACTTCATCAAGCCAGTGAGGAGAGCCTCTAGAGACAGTTTGCTAGCAAGATAGTTTTCTTTTCAATGGTGATAAAAAATATATGTATATAACAAAACATTTGCCAATTCAACAATTTTTTGCATGTGAAATTCAGTGGCTCCATATGGGAAGCACTGGACTGTGAACTCCAAGGTCTGTGGTTCGAGCCCACCAACCACTCCACGGGAGAAAGATGAGGTTTTCTGCTCCCATGAAGATTTTAAAGCCCTGGCGATCCTATTCAGGGTAGCTGTGAATTGGAATGGATTGGACAACACTTAACAACAATTCAGTGGCACTGTTTATATTCATCATGTGGTGTGTTCCTCACCACCCTCTTTCCAAATGATACCATTACCATGCATGGAAGTTCAGTACCTCGTAAGCAATGGTACCTCTTTTCAACGTCTGCATCCCGCCTCTGGTAATCACCTTTGATCTCTATACATTTGTCAATTTAGACACTTCAGACAAGTGGGATCACACAATATTTGTCCTTTTGTGACTGATTTATTTTAGTCAGCATCCTATCCTCAAGGTTCATCTATGTTATAGCATGTGACAGGACTTCATTTCTCTTTGTTGTTGCTGTTAAGTGCTGTTGACTCAGGTCCGACTCATAGATTATGGTGGTTTATGAGGTCAGCAGTTCAAATCCACTAGTTGTTTCATGGGAGAATGATAAGGCTTTCTGCTCTTGTAAAGATTTATATCCTCTGAAATCCTAAACAGAGTTGCTATGAGTTGGAACCGACTCCACAGTATATAACCACCACCATGGAATGTGTGGCTTATTGCCTCCATGACAACTACGCCCTTTGCCATGAGAACAGAAGAACTGGATGGTGCCTTGTCATGGATTTAATTGTATCCCCCCAAATATGTGTCAATTTGACTGGGTCATTATTACCAGTGGTTTTACGGTGGCATTTTGATGTAATTCTGTGATAATTCCTATGATGTGATCTGATGCAGTAAACCAATAAGAGGACTAAGGGTGGGCTGCAATACTCTGGTATGATACTGTAGGATAAGCCCTGGGCTAGTAACTGCAAGGTCTGTAGTTCCAACCCACCAGCTGCTCTTGGAAACCCTACACAGGGTCACTATGAGTCAGAACTAACTCGACAGCATACAACAGCAGCAGCAAGCAATACCCTTGTCACATCAAAACCCTGATCAGGTGTAAGGGAGTTTTCCAGGGTGTAGGCTGCAATGTCGTTTATTTTACAAAGATACAAAAATAAAAGGAGAGAGAAGTAAGCAGAGAACAAGGAAACTACTGCCACCAAGAAAGATGAGCCAAGAGTGGTATGTGTCCTTGGACCTGCAGTCTCTGTATTATGAAGCCCCTAGTCTCAGGGATAGATTGATGCCAAGACAAATGGAGATCTCCAAGGAACCATGGGCCTACAGATACTAAAAGGAGGCAAGGACCTTTCTCTAAAACGAACACAAAGGGAAAGCTTTCTCCTAGAACTGGCACTCTGAATTCGGACTTCTAGCCTCCTAAACTGAGAGAGTAAATTTCTGTTTGGTAAAGTCATCCACTTGTGGTATTTGTATTATAGTAGCACTTCATAACTAAGACATACCTGAATACTATTACTGAACATTTGGGTCAAGGATTTTATAGACAAATGCTGATCAAAAGGGAGAAAATGCAGAACAGAATTAAAAATTATCATTAACTCTAGACTTTCTGAGCCCTGAAGGCTAGATGAAACTATTGCTTTCAAATATCTTTAAACCTTAAACCAGTAATATCCCCTGAAAATCTTCTTAAAACCAAATGATAATTTGACTTAGCGAGTAAAAAATCTCTGCCTTGAGTGTTGTGCTCTTTTAGGAACTATCTATATAGGAACAAATTGGCAACAGCAACTCAGAAGATCAGCTAGGAAACTTACGGGGTAGTACGTTTATGTTAACAGGTAAGGAACGACTCGGAAAAGGAGAAGGAAATGGCTGCAAAACTGGAAGTATATAATCGATGTCATTGAATTGGTATATGTTTTGCTGTACATATTTTTAACAACAACAGCAAAATAAATTAAAAACTTTTTAAGAGTAAAAAATTATGTAAGAGCATTTAACTACTTCTGGGGTCATCAGAAACATGGAGAAGAGAACCAGAGAATCATTAAACAAAGACCTGTCCTTTCTCTTCCCAAGGGTGTGAAACCCCCAGCTTTCCTGGTTTCCTTTGCTATAGAAGTCATTAGTTTGTGCCCTGCATGTTTCCTTGCCTTTCTGCCTGTGTTTTCACACATCAGAGCTGACAGGTGCTTGTAGTGACACCAGACCTGGTGGGAGGTGTCCCTTTTCAAAGGTTGGTTGTGAATAGCTTTTCTTCAAGGACCTAATTGGAAAGAAACTCCCTTTCCTATTTGACATAACAGACAACAGCATCAGGAATCTTTCTAAATCCACATAGACAAATATATCTCACTGGTGTAGACTTTCCAAACATAAGCCACTTCAGAGATTCTACTTAAAATACCTTAGGGTCATAAAGCAGGCTTCATGCTCAGATACAGTTTTCTTTTGGGGCTTTTGGATGAGGGATCCACATTTGTATTTGATTTTCTAGGTTGATTTTCACAATCCAAGCCTTGTAGGTGGTACAGAAAAGAACATTGAATTAGATGAGTCTCTTCCAGACCTTTAAGTATCACTTCATCAAAGGTACTTTCTCACCAACCCTACCCGTAAGTTAGCTGTAGCACTTTTCAGACTTACAGTTGCTGAATTCACTGTTTGAATTTGGTTACTGAGAAGTTCTGTGAGGTCCAGGCAGTGCCTGTCTTGTCCACTCTTCATCTCCAGCCCCTGACCATAGCAGTCACGTGACCATGCAGTACATGATGGCCTGATATTTTCTTTCACAGGCACGGACAATCTACAGATCAATGTCACCCCAACCCCAGAGTCATTTCCCCACCAGACATTGCTACCAATTTCACCAACATGGCCTTTCTCAGAAGTCAAGTCTTCCTCAGCTGTGGTCAGGACCAAGGATGCACTGGGACCGTCCCCTGACAACACAAGCCTGCTCCAGTTAGCCCGAACACCTCTGCCTAAGACACACCGCAGAACTAGGGCTCCCATGGATCTCTCTTCTTCCCTGTACCAAGGAAGTGGACATAGTGCCTCCCTTGCACCTTCCAAGGATTCCATCAAGTCCCTGGTCCAACCAAGACCTCAAGGGGAAAAAGAAGCAGCTGATGAGTCAGGTTTGCCTTACACCAGCATGCTCTTCCCATTGCCCATAGCCCCATTGGTGACATCTTTGAATACTGTCCTCCCATCTCAGCCAGTGCCAGTAGGCGTTTCCTCCATTGCACGGCCAGGCATTCTCCCACATTTCCCCTCACCTTCATCGTCTTCATTAGCTCCTGACTCATCCCATTCCATCAACTTTTCCAAGACAGCAGAGCAATCCACCAAAATATGGTTATTCCCTCAGACCGCTCCAGCTGACTCCATCTCAAGTCAGAGTGTAGCTAACTCCCTAAGCCCGTTTGCTGATGCAACAAAATCTACTCCACCCCCAAATACTCAGAATTTAATAGGTATCCCTCATCTAGGTAATTCCAGATCCTCAGCAAAGCAATATATTGAGCCCTTCCCAACAGAGAGTCCCCGCTCAGCAGGCTCACCCACACCTGGGTTTTGGAGCCCCATGGCAGAACTGACCCATCTGTCTTCCCCTCCCCTAGCACCTGGAAGTTTTCTTTGGCTTCCAGTTGGGACCCCTTCATTGTCAAAGTTGGAAGTAGCTTCAAGTCCTGCATCCACACAGCCAGTCAAAGCTGAAGTGGCTAAAAGAGTGCATAATGGGGTGTTTTTGCCGACTTTTAAGAGCGCAGCAGTGGCCCCTGAGGCTGAGCCTTCACTTTTCCAGACCACAGACTCAGTGACAGTAGAAAAGACCAGCAGAAAGTTTGCCCCTACCCCTGTGAATGACTCTGCTCACCCGCCGCATTTGTCAGCAGCTCCAGAGCATTTCGGAGAGGCTGCCCTTCCAACTGAACACACCTCTTCCTCTTTGGTACCACTTCTGCCTTCTACCACCACAAGTCATGGGAAAACCATCCCTTCTGCTCCTGCATCTCCATCGAACAGCACAGCAGACCCTCCCTCCATCTTCACTTTCCACCAGCCAGCACAAAATCATGCCTCTCCATCCAGCGTGCCAAAATCGCCAACTCATCTAGAAGAGGGCAATGGTGGGTCTCCGCCCACTGCAACTACAGACTTCCTCCTCTCCAGCAATGCTCCCAATCATCTTTCCAGGACTTGGACATTTCCCTTGCAGACAGAGGGTAGTGTGACATCTGTTTTAAAGGAAAATGAAAAGGCAAATATGACGGTTCCTGTCTGGGCCCTTCCAAGTAAAGAGATTTCAAGTCTTCGCACTGTAAACAGATTCACTTCTGATTTTAGCACTGATCCGATTTCATCTACTGTCATTACAACACTGAGGACAAATCTCACCCCTTTAGAATTACCTCTACCATCTATCCCATCCATCCAAACCAGCCGGACTAGTTCCCCATCTGCTAGTGTTTCCAGTACCAAGGCAGAGACTTACGCAGCTGCTGGAGACACTTCTGGGTTCCCAGCTTCAACTTCCAAGCAGGTGACAGCATTTTCCTCTTCCACCGATGTTTATGAGTCTTCAACAACGGGACACATGAAAAAGCCAGCAATCGCAGATGTTTTCTGGAGTTCTTTTTTGGCAGAAACAGAGCCACCAATATCTGACTTGCTGCAGCAAGCAAATTATGATTTAAATGGACACACAACTAATTCCACAAGATGGAAAACTCATTCATCTTCAGCCACTGCTACCAGAGGCTTAATGTCAGCTGCCGGTGCAATAAGCACTCAGGCTTTCAAGGCTACTGCTGGGTACTCAGAGACTACAAAAGGCTTCAGTGTCCAGGAGCCATTCCTTGGCACAAGCATAAACCAGCCCATACAACAGCCAAATGTTACCAGGATTGGCAATGATAGAGATTTGGGGCCCACAAGCAATAGCAGCCATACTAGAGACTTCCAAACAGCTGAGGTTGAAGATTACCCATCCATGAGTCAACATTCTGGGTCTCATCCCCATTTACAGCTGCCTGTTCATCCAACACATCCTCTTTTGCCAACTTTGCCAAGTCTAACTGCTCCAGCTGGTTTGCAGGAAATGCTTTCAGACGGAATAGCTACAAGATCCCAAATTTCCAGCGACCCTTATCCATCATCTGGGATAAATGCTTCCACGCCACTCTGGAGTATCCTGAGATATCACTCTACTGCTCAGTCTCCTCCTGTATCATCCAGTGCCTTATTCAGGACACCCTCCAAAGTGCAGCTGGCTTCACAACACCCCAAGAAATGGACAGGTGCAGCCACTAATGCAGGTAGTTTGTTTCCTGGTACCCAACCAACAGGTATGACTACTTCCATGGCCAAAGCATCTTCAAGCTCAACACAAATAACTAGCTTTCTTCTGAAGGAGCACATCCACCCTTTCAGCAGTGAGTTAATGCCCAACTAGCCATGCCATTGGTCCTCTGCCTACTTGATTTTTAGAAAGTATTCAGAATTTAAGTATCTTTATGGCCAAACACAGCTTTGTTATAAATGGCATTCTCGATATGGTTAATCAACCTAATGAACCTAAAGCAGTTTTGCCTAACTTCTTCCCACTGCAAGGTCAATGTTCAGAGACTTTTCACCCTAGCAAGCCCATAAGTTGCATCCTATTCATCACCAGAACAAGTGATGTGAGTTCACAACAGTAACAAACTTTGCTTGATCTCTCATTTCAGTGGACTCCTCCGTATTGTCCAACGCAGAACCAACAGCAGCGTCAGCAGCCACAGTGTTTCTGAGGAAATCGAGTCCACCAGCTCTGTCTGCAGCCCTGGTCGCTAAGGGCACCGGAAGCAGCCCTTCAGCCGTGGCTGCGGGATTAGCCAAGAGCAGTTTGACCACCACTCTAGCAAAAAATGTCACAAGCAAGGCAGCACCTGGCCCAAAGGTGACACCGGGAGCTATCCATCCAGCTTTCCCGTTCACACCCACCTACATGTTTGCAAGGACAGCACACACCATGAGCACACATACAGCCATGCAAGGACACACGGTCACTGCTTTTGGCCTATTGTCCACAACACACCTCCCCAGGAAACCACAAGCCATGCACACGGACCTTCCAAACCCCACCAACTCAGAGATACCCAAAGCCTACACCCCACGCCCACTGACAATCACTGCAGCGTTAACATCCATCACCGCTTCAGCGAAGGCCACCCGGTTTCCGCCTTTGCCAGCAGAGAACACAGATGCTGCTCTTCCCGCTGTGTCCACTGAAGTGGTCACGACTGGCAAAATGGTGTCCAACTTGGAGTGTCAGATGTCCAGTAAGGTGCTGGTGAAGACAGGTAAGCATCTACTGTCTCCTGTCCCTCTGATTTGACTTGAAAGCAGCCAGCACGCTCTGGCTGCAGAGGTAACCCAATTGTTATCTTTCCTTGTAATCAGGAGTTCTCAACCCAGGGTGATTTCACAACCTACATCCATTTCTGGAGGCCTTTGTGGTAGTCACACCTTGGGTGAGAGCTACTGGTGGCAGCTAGTGGGTAGTAGCCAGGGATGCCACTAAGCATCCTACAATGCACAGAGCATTCTCCCACAACCAAGATTTACCCAGCCAAAGAAGCCAGTCCTATGAAGGGTGGCGAATTATTTCTTTCTCGCATCCTGGATGCCATGTTTTCATCAGCCGAGAAGAGGAGGAGCATTGCATGCCATGGATACTAGATTTGTGGTCTCAGTCTTGGGATCAGTGCCCCTTGGAGATCCACGGTTCTTCCCATGGGTTTGGAAGTGCAAATATGCACCAAGTTTTCCCTATAGGATGAATACATAATGTCTCATGTGAATGAATGGTATCATTAGTAAATGATGTGATTGGATTGCAACCCTCCAGAATCCAGAAATGGCTTTTTGTCATGTATTTTCCCCGCCACAGCTATGATGGCACAGTATGTAGGAGCCTGGTATTTCTTTCAATGTTAAAAAGAAATTTTCTTCTTGAAAAAAATTGGATGGGTAGCATTTGAACTGCAGTGTTTTGGGATGCTATGTTTTTAGTCCCTACCCACCCCCAGTTGAAGCAAAGCAGGCCTAGAATGCACGGGGTGTCTTTAATAATGTGGTAGTGTTTGCTATAAAAAGCATTCGATGAATTATTCGGAAGAGCATGCTAATGCTGAATGCTGACATCCCGCCTTCTTCCTTGCCCTACAAAGAATTAAACAAAATGATATCTTGAGACACGTCCTATTCTAAAAGGAGAACTTGTGAAACTAGGCAGAGCACAAAATACAGTATCTCTGTTTCCCAAGATTAGACCATCTGGTTGTCACTCCCCTCCCCCCTTGTAGCTCCTCCTCTGAGTGACAGGTGGCTCCTGCCACTCAGATGCAGAAGTCTCAAACATGCTCCATTTTCTCTCCTTCACCACATTTCTGCACCCCAACCACATCCATTCATTCACTGGGTCCTTTCAATTCTGCCTCCTAAATGTCCCTTCTCTGTACCTGCTGTCACTTTCTGAGTTCAGACAGCCATCGTCACTCATCTACATTTTTATGACTGCCAATTTTTTCTCTCTGCATTCAGATGTCCCTTCTGTCCAATCTGTTCTTTGCTCTATAGTCGGGAAGCCCATCTAAAATGCACCATTTACTTAAGACCCTTTATTCCCCAGTGTCCTTGGAACAAAGCTGAAATGTCTATACGAAATGATTTCACCTGTCTCTCCTCGCCATTGTGTCTGGTGTTCCCTCGGCCCCTTGGCCTCGCTCACACCAGTGACCCTCTGGATTCCGCGGAAGCATATCTTTCCCCAGGAACCCTTCCCAAGTCAGGGCCGGATGCTCCTCCCAGGACCTCTCACAGCATCCTTGGCTTCCTTTACCATTGTACCTGTACATTCAATCCCAAATGCCTCATCTCCATCCCCGTTTGTGAGCTGGGGAATGCACCTGTCTGCTAGGCCTGCTTTCTCCTGTAGAGCCATGCAATGGCTGGGGCCTCCATCCTTAGGACATTAGTGGGGCCCCATCCCACTTCCAAGGAACCCTGGTGACACTGTTAGGCAATAGGCTGCTAGCCAGAAGGTCAGCAGTTCAAACCCACCAGCTGCTCCTTGGGAGGACCCAGTAGTAGTCTGCTTCCGTAAAGGTGTTGTTGTAAAGTACCATCGAATAGGCTCCAGCTCATTGCAACCCTGTATAGGGTTTTCAAGGAGCAGCTGGTGAGCTTGACCCGCTGACCCTGTGGTTCAAACTGACCTTGAAATTCAGTGTTTTATCCCACAGCACCCCCAGGACTATAGTCTTGGAAATCTTATGGGGGAGTTCTGCTGTGTCCTGTAAGGCCGCAACAACTAGGAATTGACTTCACAGGAATGGATCCCACTTGTCATCAGTTGGACCTGTGCTCACCGTCTTTGCTAAGAACTGGCTGAAGGTGGTGGTTAAAGAAGAGAAGAGGGCTCTTTAATGACGATGTGCACTACCTCACCCTGACTGCCATGCTTCTGCTTTGTCCTGCAGTTCTCTTTCTGAGCCAAAGGAGAGTGCAAAGCAGTGAATTTTTGAAGCTCAGTGTGGCCAAAGGGCTCACACAGGCATTGCGGAAAGCCTTCCACCAGAGTGACGTCTCTGCTCACGTAAGCACCTTGCTTCTCCTCTTTGGTCCAGAGTGTGTTTTGATGATTTTTTCCTTCCTAGGTGGTATAGCTACACTTGCCAGAAGAATGAACTCTTTTCCTTTGGCAAACAGCTAATGCAGGGTGGCTAGAGACAAGGGTCAAATTTCGAGTCAGAAAATTGAGGCTACTTGTCTTCTGTCTAGATTATTCTTTTTAAGCCTGAGTTGTTGTTGTTGTTAAGTGCTGTTGAGTGAATTCCAACCCATAGTGACCTCATATGGGGTTTCCGAGGAGCAGCTGATGCGCTTAAACTACCAACCTTGCAGTTCAAACGGCTTTGCAGTCTGGTGCATTAACCCATAGCACCACACCAGAAAGCCTGGGTAGGTGGCACAGATGGCTAAGCACTTGACTGCTAACTGCAAGGCTGGTAATTCAAAGCCATCCAGAGGTACCCTGGAAGAAAGACCTGGTGATAGGTTTCCACAACCCTTGAGAATCCTCATGCATGCAGTTCTATGCCACTCTGCAACACAGGAGGGTCATGAGTCAGCACTGACAAAAACCAGTTTTATATTTTTCTTTAATTTTATTTTATGTTATTTTAAGTCCTGGTGTGGTGCTGTGGATTAATGCACTGGACTGCAAGGTCAGTTTGAACCAAAAGATCAGTGGTTCTAGTTCACCCGTTGTTCCTCAAAGACCCTATACAGGGTCGCTATGTGTTGGAACTACTCAATGGCACTTCACAACAACAACATCACCATCCTGTTGCTCAAGGAAAGAATGTACTGTTGTGAGTGTCATTCTCCAGAAACCATTTCATTGTTTTGTTTTGTTTTCCCCTTTATCTTCATCATTGCAAATTGACATTTAAAAATTATTGTGACTTATACATCCAGTCAGCCTTTGCTTAAATTGCCAGAGGCAGACAGGGAAGTAAACAGTTTTTCTTGTTTTGTTTTGTTACCCCCCCCACCCCCCACCCCCACACACACACTTTAACGCCAAGCATTGTTTAGCAACTGCTGGCTGATTTTTGTTGACATATCCAAGTGATGGAAGCCATGCTTTGCACTCTGTTGGTTTGATTCCAAATGTTAAAGCAGTAAGTGCAGTTGGCAGTCAGTGGGCTCCTTTTGCACCACTTAAAATTATTACTGTGGCTTCCTCTTCGGATGCTCGGGTCTACAGCTGCATGTAGCCTTGTGGTCCCCTGCCCCCCAGGCCCAGGGCTGGATGTGAGACTTGGTACACACTTTATGGGTCATTGTCAGTCTCTTATATAATAATGGAAAAAGGAGCAATGAACCTTGTGAAAGGTCCCTGTGGTTTCTGCACTGGAAATTATATTTGAAAGTTGAAAATGTGAATCTTTGGTTGCCTGATACCATTTTCATGAAACTTTAGTGGTTGAAAAATGATGCTCACAGTTTCTGGCTTTTCTGCAAGCCATCACAGACTACTGTGACAAATCCTAGGTAGTCATATTTTTTCATTGGATCCCTTTTTAAAAGTTAACTACATTTCTTTTGAAAGGACATTTGATATTACTTCCATAAATGGAAACCACGGTCATTTGCCACAAATAAAAGGTAATCATAAAAATCGTAAAAATGAGAATAATGGAAATAAAACAAACCTGTTGACCTCATTTTTTGTTTTTGCTTGTTTATTTATTTTTAAGAATTAACAATGGCTATAAAGGTAAGCCTGGTGTTATGCTGTAGGATAAGCACTGGACTGCTAACCAGGAGGTCAGTGGTTCAAATCCATCATCAGCTCCTCAGAAACCGTATACAGGGTCTTTATGGGTCAGAACCGACTTGATGGTATTTAACAACAACAGCAAAGAGGTATCAAGGAGTCCCTGGGAGGTTCAAATGGTTAATGCACTTAGCTGCTAACTGAAAAGTTAGAGGTTTAGTCTATCAAAGACCTTGAGAAATCTACTTTGAAAAATCAGTCATTGAAAATCTTATGGATTAAAAGGAAAGTCACAGGGAGGAAACAGGATTCCTGCTGCAGGGAAGGAATGGGAATCATGTAGATGAAACAAAACATACGATTGGTTGAAAGCGAAGCTTTCTTTTTTGTTAACCTTCACTCAATTCACAATGGTGGTGGTGGTAGTGACGTGCCATGGAGTCGGTTCCGACTCATAGGGACTCTAAATTCACACTAGAACGTTAAAAAAAAAAAAAAAAAATGCTATGGATTACTGATCTCACGGATTTCTGGTGTGGTATTGTAGGCGGAAGACTGAACTGCAGACCACCAGGTCAGCAGTTCAAACCCACCAGCTGCTCCTTGGAAGCCCTATACAGGGTTGCTATGAGACAGAACTGACTTAGTGACACTTAACAACAACAGCTGGTCTCATAGAAACTAATAGAACCCCCAACACTATGGTCCTTAGTCACCCTTTAAGCCTGAAACTGAACTCACCCTCCCCTGGGGATTAACTTTCAGCCAAGCAACAGACAGGCCTATAAAATGAACCATAGCACTAGATGGGAATGCACTCTTTACAGCTATCGACCATATGAACATTTGCCCAGGGAGAAAGCTCAGAAGGGAGGGAGGATTAGGAAAGAAGGACAGAGGAAATAGGAAACATAGGGAGAATGTGGAATAAGTGATGTTCCATTGTGGGGATTACAGTCAATGTCACAAAACAAAATGAGTATGAATTGTTGACTGGAAGACTAATTTGCTCTGTAAGCTTTCTCTCAATCACAATTAAAAGTTTTTAAAAAAAGAAAGAAAATCTTATGGCTCACAGTTCTACTCTGACACACATGTGGTCCCCCTGAGTCAGAGTAGACTCAAGGGCAACTGGTGTGGAGATGGTAAAGGGAAAATAAGGCCAAACTGAGACTTGCTTCTTGAGGTGACTAGAATGATTGAGAAGGGAGTGACTATCTCACTGGGTGATTTAGTGTTGTTTAGTGTTGTTTCCATGTTCTGTCCAGAAATCTCTGTTGTTCCACCTAAAATCATCTCAGACACTATCTTTTGGAAACCAGCTGATGAGGGACACACAGTGTGGATAAACCAGAGGTCTCCGTCCTGTCACTGAATCATTGTCTTGACTTCTCTGGAAAATACACAAGCCACTATGTATGGAGATGCAGGCATAAGTGGGGAAAAGCAGGCGTCAAAAACACCCTGAATTGTTCATATAAAATACAAAGAAAGCAGAATAAGATAAAAATAAAACCCAAAGCCTCACAATCTTCCAGTTGGGACAGAAGAGAGCTCAGATCATCAATGTCCCTTTGGACACTGCTGTAAGAGAAACTCTCTATAGCTTGTCCCTATCTTGGTCTTGAAGCAACGTGCAGGTCAAGGCAACTCCTTTCTCAGCTGAGGCTTGGTGCGATGGTTAAGTGCTTGGTAAAACCAAAAGCCTGATGGTTTAAACCAACCCAGTAACTCCAGAGTCCTGGTGTGGTACTGTAGGATAAGTACTGAACTGCTAACCACAAGGTCTGTGGTTCAAACCCACCTGCCACTCCTCAGGAACCCTATATAGGGTCACTATGAGTCAGAACCAACTCAATGGCACTTAACAACAACAACAATGACTCTGTGGTAGAAAGATTTGGCAATGTGCTCCTATAAAGACTGAAAAACCTAGTACCACCCAGTCCATTCTGACTCAGTGAACTGGTAAACAGAGGAGAACTGCCCATGGCTGTAGTGTTTATTGAAGCCAACTGCCACATCTTTCTCTCACCCACTGACTGATGGGTTTAAACCACCAACCTTTCAGTTAGCAGCTGACTGCTACCAAAGCTCTTTCTGTAAAGATTGTTGTTGTTGTTAAGTACTGTGGAATCAGTTCCAACTCATAGAGACCCAGTACAGGGTTTCTGAGGCTGTAAATCTTTATGGGAGCAGAAAGCCTCATCTTTCTCCCGCAGAACCACTGGTAGTTTTGAACTGCTGACCTTGAGGTTAGCAGCCTGATTCGTAACCACTACACTATGGATTACAGCCTACGAATCCCTATGGAGCAGTTCTAATACCTGACAAACCCACAAATGGGTGACCAAAAAGACTATGGGACAGGTGTTTTGGTTACCAGAAAGAGTTGGCTTTATTGCTTTCTGCAGAAAGCAAGGAGACAGGCACATCTTTGCCACCAACTATCTCCCTATGAAGGGGAACTAGGTGTATTTTATCAGGCTTCAGGAAGACTTCAAGGGATAAACAGAGACAAGTTATCACACATTAAAAATAGGGGAGCCTGTCACAAGACAAAAACAAGGGTACAAATCACAATGCTGAGATGATAAATATTATGGTTTGTTGTGGACTGTTACCAGCCTCAGTGGGCACTCTGATGCTTCGTGCTCCAGTGGGTTATAATTTTAGTAACTGGGACTTGGCACCAGGGCACTCAGACCTGCTCTTCATTGTCAAGGAGCTGGCCTTATGCAGAGACATCTTACCGATGTTTAACTATATCCTTAGCTTTTGGTCAGGTTCCTCATTAGAGGGGAGAGATTGCAAGCAAGGAAAATCTGCTGCTGGGGCCTTTGGCTGCCTACAGTCAAAATCTACCTACATCAATTCTACTCTGACACTTGATGTTGCCTTGACTTGAGATGGACTTCATGGCACCTAACAATGACTTCCTGATCCAGTTCTGAAGATGCCCCACTTAACCCAATCATTTCTGCCTATTCATATTTATAAACTGAGAAATGTCATAAAGCTGTTTTCCCCTGAAATCTACTCTCTAGAATTATGTTTTGTCTGTCACTTCCTTCCTTTGCCTTTTTAGTGCTAATTGGTGCTTACAGGATTATTCTGAAACACTTTAGGAATCAAAGAACACAGATTTAATTTTAGTCCATGTAAGTTTGATGAAAATGATATTTTGTTGTTTTGTTATACTTTGAGGCTTGGTAATCCATGTATGCTTTATAGGATTGTTAGAGTATGTGTTGACTAAGAACACCCTATTCCCCAGCCATGCTAAGTAGTAACAGTGATGATTCTAAGAAACACCAAGAAGAGTGTGAAGTACTGTGGCAATAACCAGTGAGTTTTGTTGGTTCATTTATTTCATAGGTGGAAATTCTGGAACATTCGCACAACATCACAGTTGGTTATTATGCTACCAAGGGGAGGCTGGTGTACCTGCCTGCAGTAGTTGTTGACATGCTAAGTGTTTATGGTGTCAGCAATGTTACTGCGGATCTGAAGCAACACACCCCAAACTTGCAGTCTGTGGCAGTACTTGCCTCCCTGTGGAATCCTGAGCCTGCAGGCTACTTCCAGCTAAAAACAGGCAAGTAACACAGAAGGAAGGTGTACACGCGGTGATGTAAACATTTGGGTCCAGTTAGAAGAAAGGCTTAGTGATCTACTTCCCCCCAAATCAGACACTGAGGACCCTATGAAGCAGTTTTGTTCTGACACACTTGGGATTACCCTGAGTTGGAATTGACAAAATGGCAACTGGTATACTCAGAAAGAAAGAATTTCTACCTGTTCTGGAATGAGGGAGACAGGAAGGGGGTACCTGTTTAACAACTCCATTGTCAGACGGTCTATCATCTCTTTAAGTTCCTATGTATCTTTCTCGAAGGTCCCTGTTAATCACATGCCTGAGTTCCTTCCACATCAGCCTAAACTTTTCCATCCCTGAATTTATCAGAAATGTCCCATCACAGGAGCCTGCATTCTTAATTTATATAACTAGCATTTGTGGATGCCAAATACTGTTTTTGTTCTTTTTTTTTTTTTTTTGGTATTACTAACAAGAGTTGACTGTCCATAAAAATCTGTGATTTACAGCAATCATAGATTTTTGTGTCACTTAATCAGAATCTCTGATTTGGTGAGTGCCTTAGAATCTTTTCTTAAGCTCCCTTGTGAGTCTGATCTGCAGTTTGTAAACCACAAGACTGGGGAAACCACTAAAATTGAAAGACTCAATCAACTGAGTAATGGAGGTCAATTGATTTTTCTCCTCCTCTAAAGAACTAGACAGCATCATCCCTTTGGTTATTTTTTTTTTTTTTCACAGTCTTTGCATAGATTCCTGCATATTGCAAGCATTTGCATTGAGGGGAGTCTCAGATTCAATCGTGTTTTAAATTCTTGTATGTTATCAATCATTTTAAGAGCCACATTCAAAACTATAACCAATCTTTGTCTGGTCCTAGTGTTTAGTTGTCTAATATCCCTAATCTAAAATCATGCTGTTTTGTATCATGACCACTGTTAATTCCAGGCAATGGAGACATGGAGCTTTGCGGTTGCTGCTTTTCATTTTTGCATCTTATTCTAGTGCTGCAGTTTGTGAGTCAATCTGACAACATTCAGTCCTGCAAGTTTGCTCAGACAATGGAGCAGAGGCTGCAGAAGGCATTCCAGGATGCTGAGAGGAAGGTCCTGAATACCAAAAGCAACTTGGCAATTCAGGTGAGGCAGTCCAGGCTGCGTAGTCCAGACGCCAGTCCTAAACCTCTGCTGGCGAGTAGTGACTTGGACTCCCCATTTCAAAGCTACCTTTTGTAAATGCAACTTTGCACTTAGGGTATGTGACATAGACACTGAGTGGGGTTGATAGCACAGAAGAGAATGTCTTGGGTCTGGATTTTGTATATATTTCCCATATGGTGTTTCTTGTCTTTTCCCCTTTGGACTGGTATAATAGAAATGGACTATGTATACAGGGTCACTGTGAGTTGGAACCCACTCCATGGCATTTAATAACAACAAAGATAGATAAAATGTGTAAACTACTTACTAAGATTAGTCTATTCTATGATTTGCATTGGTTCACCCGTACCACCCTGAATGCATCCAATCTCCTCTGATCTCGGATGCTAAGCAGGGCTGGGCCTGGTTAGTACCTTGGACTCCTGCGGTGGTGCTGTAGAATCAACACTGGACTGAAAACCACAACGCTAGCAGTTCAAAACCACCAGATGCCCCTCGGAAACCTTATACAGGGTAGCTATGAGTTGGAACTGACTCGATGGCGCTGAACAACAACATATTCCAGACACTCACATGAACCATCACTTCAGTTTAGACACACATACATACTTTCTCTCTTTGTATTGAGGGCTTATTCTGTGTGAGGAGTCCAAGTGTGGCACTTCAGGATAAAACACTGGACCAAAAGGTTCATTTGATCTACAAAGTTGATGGTTCAAACTCAACAGCTGCTTCTCAGAAACCGTATACAAGGTCACTATGAGTTGGAACCAACTAGATGGTACTTAACAATGACAACACCGTTCTGTGCATGCTAGGAACAGTGCTAATGTTTTACAAATGTGTTGCTGTATAATACTCAAGACATATTTCAGAAGAGGGAACTGAGGGAGAAGTGAAGAAACCTCCAGAAGGTTACAAATAAATCTGTAATGCCTGTAATATGGGTACCTGGTCTGATTTTGCAAAGGTTCCTCACAAATTGCATTTAATATAGTAAAATGGACAGTTAGGTACAACAAAACCAGTTTCTGAAAAAAACAAACAAACAATGAAAGGCAACCAAGGGGGATCATTACCATACACTTATGTGTGATGTAAGAGCTGCTGTTGTTAAATGCTATTGAGTTGGTTCTGACTCATAATGACCCTGAATAGGGTTGCCTTGGAGCAGCTAGTGGGTTTGAAATGCTAACCTTTTGGTTAGCAGTCCAATGCTTATCCTACAGTGCCACAGGACCTAAAAGGTTAATAAATCCAGGCAACAGGTTTGACTCTGGGCTTCTTATCAGCCAAAGCGAAAAGGGAAACGGGATTAGTAAAACAATTCATACAATTGTCCATTCATTTCAAGAGATGTTTTCAATGGATATAATAAAATAATAAATTTAGTAAGATGCAATTTTCAAATCAACTATTGAGCTCTTTAACAGAGAAGGGCTTGTTACTTTCTTTTTGCAAAGTTTCATCTAATGACCCAGGCCTCCCATAGCAGCAAACCAAGAGAGGCAGGCTTCTCAGGACCAGGGCAGCTTGTTTATCTGGAAATCTCTCCCAGTGCCTGATGAATAGCAGGTACTCCATAAGATGGGCCTTCCTGCATATAATTAGATGGTATGCTCTGCTGCCAAGCTCTAGTTAGGTTCAGGGATGTGTGAGGATCACAGATTCAATCAGGAAGACAAAATGCCTCCACAGATAGCTGAGTCATACTCCTTACATAAATCTTAAGTCTGTGACACATTTTTCAGATCTTAGTCTAATATGAATCAAGCCATAATGAGATACTTCCAGACACACTCTGGATGAATCTAGAAAAGGAAAACTGCATATTCAAGTTAAATTGTATACTTTCTACATCATCTTGACTTTTCAGATAATTCAGTTATGCTAAATGTCAATTTCAGAACCGCTGGGTTTAATTGCAAAAACTTGAGATCATGAGTCTAAACAGAGATATTAGAAAGTACAACTAACTAGAAAAATGAGGTGCTGAATGAATTTCATTAATAAGCATCTATCTTTGGTGAGATAAAAATGTAATTTTTTGTAAAATAGGTCTAAGAAAAGCTTTGTTGTTGTTGTGTGCCGTGGAGTCAGTTCCGACTCATAGCAACCCTGTATATGGTGATTGAGGCTATAAATCTTTACGGGAGCAGAAAGCCTCATCTTTTTCCCGTGGAACAGCTGGTAGTTTCAAACTGCTGACCTTGCGGTTCGCAGCCCAATTCATAAGTACTACGCTACCTTTTTAGCTTTCACGGTTAATCCTGGAAGCTAAAATATAGCATACCAGGAATGGAATTTCCAAGGGAGGCAGTTCGTGGGTTTGTCGAAGGTTCACCAAGGTCTCCATTTCTGCATTGCCCTGATGTTGTTGTTGTTGTTATTATGTGCCGTGGAGTCAGTTCCGACTCATAGCAACCCTGTACAGGGTTTCCAAGGCTGTAATCTTTACAGGAGCAGAAAGCCTCCTCTTTCTTCCACAGAACAGCTGGTAGTTTTGAACTGCTGACCTTGCCATTCACAGCCCAATTCATAACCACTATGCTACCAGAGCTCCTTACATTGCCCTGACATTGGAGTTGTATAGTAGATAAGACTGTAGGTTCTTGGCTTGTTCCATTCTGTGAGTCAGAATTGACTCAGTGCCAGTGGGCTTGGTTAGGTTTTAGATGGTGAGGTCTTTTGAAGTGTTCAGAAAGAAGTGCCTTTTCTCATAAGGTTGCTATGAGTCGGTACTTACTCCATGGCACCTAACAATAACAACCGCTCCAAAGATACTTCCAGAGACAAGTGAGGGCTGACCAGAAATGTTGGTTCAGCTTCAGTAACCATGGGAATGTAGGTTCTGTTGATGCTGAGCCGTCAAGTCAGTTCCAACTTAAAGCAACCCTACACACAACAGAAGGAAACACTCACTACCTGGCTCTGAGCCATGCTCACAACCACGATATTTATGCCATTGTTGTAGCCAACATATCAATCCATCTCATTGGAGGTCTTCCTCTTTTTTAATGACTTGTAGTGGTTACGAGTTGGGCTGCTAACCTCAAGGTCAGCAGTTCGAAACTACTAGCCCTTCCACAGGAGAAAGATGAGGCTTTCTGCTCTCCTAAAGATTTACAGGCTTGGAGACTATGTACAGGGTAGCTATGCATCAGAACCGACTCCATGGCACATAACCACCACCACCTACTTTACCAAGCATGATGTCCTTTTCCATGGACTGGTCCCTTCTGATAATTTAGCCAAAACACGTAGACTAAGCCTTGCCATCCTGGCTTCTAAAGATCACTCTGGTCGTACTTCTAAAACAGATTTGTTTGTACTTTTGGCAGTTCCTGGTACTTTCAATATTCCTTACCAACCCAACAATTCAAATGAATTCTTCTCTGTTCTTATTCATTGTCCAACTTTACATGTATATGAGGCTATTGAAAATACCATGATTAAGTCCTCAACAGTAACATCTTTGTTCTTTAGCACTATAAAGAGGTCTTTTGCAGCAAACCCAAACTCACTGCCATCAAGTCACTTCGGTCCATAGTTACCCTATATGGGGTCCTCAAGACTGGGTATCTTTATGGGAGCTGACAGCCTCATCTTTTCCCCTCAGGATAGCGGGTGGGTTTGAACCACTACCTTGAAGTTAGCAGTCCAATGCTAAGCCCACAGTATCACTAGGGTTCTTTTAGGCTCCGAGTTAGAGAATTTAAAAATAATTTCCCACTTACGGTGAAAGTGGGAAATACAGGGTCAAAGCTATTTT